CTCTTGATTGAATGTCCAACTGTGAGTATTGTGTCGTCCACTATTGGCGTATACTTAGAAGGCACGTGACCAGATCGGCCAATGCAGTTTTGATACGCGATCCGCAAGCACCTCCAACCTCCAGATTCCTCCACTCGACAACACGATGGTGCGTCTCAGCAGCGTTCAAGCGAAGGCCCTGCGCCGCCTACAAAACCAGGCTGGGGTCCAACCCCCCCCAAAATCCAAATGGCCCAGCGTCGTCGGCAAGCCCGTGTACCTGTACGTTGCCCAAAATTTCCAAGGACACCACCCCCGCTCGACCAAACCAGCATATCAGCAGATTTGAGCGGCCATTAAACATTTGCCATAAAATAAAAGAGCACCACAACTAATTTCTCGCCTCAATAGACCTCAATTCCGCATTGCTCTCGTCCGAACCCCGAACCTCACCCCCCGATATGCTCAATTCCGCGTCCCCCTCAACTTCAACAAGTTCGATCTCCGCAGCTACCTATGGCACTTGTATGGAGTCGGGACGCTCAGCATCCGCAGTTACGTCCAGGCACAACCGATCACAAGAATCTCGCGCGATAACAAGGGTTTCGGCCCGTGGCGCCGACCTAAGTCGCAGAAGCGCATGACCGTTGAATTGAAGGAGCCCTTCGTGTACCCCGAGGAGCCGAAAGATCTCACTCCGTACGTGACACCTACCCTTTACCTTCTCGTCCTTTTCGAGCTCAATTCCTTTGTCTTCCCTCTTTCTATATGCCCAATACTACACATGCACCTCACCCAGGCTGAACATCATCACTAACCAATCTCCACCAATAGCTGGGAGCATGAAAGCTGGTCAAAGGCCGAGAAGTGGCAGATCGACCAACAAGAAAAGGAGAACCCCAAGCCGAACAAGGGTGAACAGCCCGATCAGGAGTTGCGTGATGCCTACAAGGAGCAGGCCAAGGCGTTGCTCGAGAACAAAGAGACCTGGAGACCGACCTGGAAGGCTCTGGGCTTGGAGCCACACCAAGCGGTTAAGAATGGCGGGTTCGCCCGTGCTCCTACGCTGCCGGCTTGGTATGCTAAGGGGCGGAAGCACGGCGCGCGGTAATCGGTTTTGATGGGATCCCTTGCATTGTTCTTCATGGTCTTTTTGCCTCCCTCCATTGGGGGAAAATTGGTGTTTCTTGTTCTATCTAATGGTCCATGTTATTTTGGCTGGATCTGTGTATTATACTCTTGGGGTAGATTGTATACATCTTGAACGTGGCGTATCATCTTTTTCTGATCTGGTCAAGGTCTGCACAAATCTTTAATTGAGATAAAACATTGTAAATTGTAAATTGATGTGTTGGTTGCAGAACTGAATCCGTATATTGAGTGATATAGACACGAAATATTAACTGGCATGAACGCATCACAAAAGACAAGTTGATTAAATACGAATCACTGGGGCCTCGGGCTATTATACGCTATGCAGAAATGAGGGTAGGGGGACCGCAGTGCTGGACAACAGACGAGGCAGGGAGGCAAAGCAAAGCGCCTTATACTTCGGGCGTTGAGAACGGTTCACAGTCGGCTCTCAACAAAGTTCATCTGGTGTTGGCCTGGCCACTGGGCATCAGGCCAGACCTGGCGCAGCCCTTCCCAAATGTGCCTGTGAACAAGTGTTAGCAGTTGAGTTAAACCGAGGTTGAAACGAGATAACATACTTGACATAGATGATTTCCAGACCATCCTTGACTTCCTGTGGGACATCTTTAACGTCTTTGCGGTTGTGGTCTGGCAGCAGCACGGTCTTGACGCCCGCACGCAGAGCACCAATCAGCTTCTCTTTGATACCACCGACCGGCAAGACCCGGCCGCGGAGGGAGACCTCGCCAGTCATGGCGATCTGGGGTGGGACGGGTTTGTTGCTGAACAAGGAAATCAAGGCAACAGCGTGGGCAAGGCCAGCAGAGGGACCATCCTTGGGAATAGCGCCGGAGGGGCAGTGGACGTGCAGGCTACGGCTCTTCATAATGTCTTCGCTGGGGTCGTGGGTGAGACCGAGCTCGAAGGAGTGTGCCTTCACCCATGTCAGGGCTACTTCGACGGATTCCTTGAGCACGTCGCCCAGCTTACCGGTTAGCTGGACGCGTCCGTTGCCGGGCATGTCTGCCACCTCGATGAACAGGATGCTGCCCTGGCCACCGGTAGAGTAGGCAACAAGGCCGGTGACCACACCGGGACGACCGTGTTTCTCGGCGATCTCTTCCTCGAATCGCTCGATGCCCAGGATATCCTCCAAATCATCGACTGATACAACAGGGTTATAATCAGTTAGGCGGTCGGCGTCCCCGGCGTCGGCATATTGAACGGCCTTGTGGCGACAGATAGAGCCAAGTTCCCGCTCCAGGTTGCGCACACCTGACTCACGGGTGTACGAGGTGATGGTCTTATCAATCACCTCGTCGGACAGATTTACCTGGCCGTCGGTGAGACCGTTGGATCGAATCTGTTTCGGGATCAGGTGTTGCTTAGCAATGTGCCTCTTCTCAACAGTGGTGTATCCAGACAGGGAGATGGTCTCCATGCGGTCAAGCAGAGGTGCCGGGATCGTCTCCAGGGAGTTGGCAGTAGCAAGGAATAGAACCTTGCTCAAGTCAATAGGGATGTTGATATAGTGGTCGGTGAAGGTGTGGTTCTGCTCAGGGTCAAGAACCTCCAGCATTGCGGCGGACGGGTCGCCTTGGAAGTTGGCGCCGCCGACCTTGTCAATCTCATCGAGCAGAATGACGGGGTTTGCAACGCCAACCTTCTTCAACCCATTCACAATCAAACCAGGCATGGCTGCAACGTAGGTGCGTCGGTGGCCCCGGATTTCCGCCTCGTCTCTGACACCACCAAGGGAGATCCGGTGGAATTTTCGGCCAAGCGAGGCCGCAACGGACCTGGCCAAACTGGTCTTACCAGTTCCAGGGGGTCCAACTAGAAGCAAGATAGGGGACTTGTCGGTCATACGCTTGGACTTGAGAATCTCAAGGCGGGTCTCCAACGCAACCCGGTCAGACTCTGACAGCAGGGGTACATCCTTCTCGACATCTCCGACCGCCGAGGCGTCCAAGTCCCTGGACAGTCCTGAGATTTGACGTTCAACGTCCGAGTTGGTGGACTGCTTCAAGCGTAACACGGCCAAATACTCCAGCAGACGCTTCTTGATCCGCTCCAGGCCGTAGTGGTCCTCATCCAGCTGCTTTCTGGCATTCTTCAATGTGTCTGGTCCAAGCTGATCCTCTGTCACCTTGGTCCATGGGATTTCTGACAAGTTTTCCAGATAAGTCCGGCAAACACCGTACTCGGCGTTAGCAGGGTTCATCTTTCGAAGGCGTTTCAGTTCCTTGTCCGCAACCTTCCGAGCTTCAGGACTAAGCTGCGCATCATTCAACTTCTGCTGTAGCTCATCTACTTCATTAGGCTCCTTCTCTTCGTCATTGCCACGCCCGCTAGGGGGCGCCATGCCAGAGAGACCCGAAATTGCACGCTTCGCGAGTAGCTCACGTTCACGGGGGTCAATCTGACTGATATCCATTCCGGAAGAGGGGAACGACGTCGAGCCAACCGAGGTGACCCTGACGCTACTCTTAATATGCTGTGCCTGTCTGGTGAGGATCTCAACCACCCTCTCCAGGCGTTCCTTAACATCCAGCGAGCGGAGGATACGTAGCTTTTCCTCAAAGCTTGCGTCAGATACATCTGCCATAAAATCGGCCAACTTCCCAGCCTGTGACAATTCCGTCTTTGATATATAGAGCTCGAACTTTCGGGCAACGAGTGGCGAGAGACGAGAGGAGGCTGCCGACAGTAATGAGGAGAGGCGTAAGAGGGTAAGAAGCTCTCGAGAGAGCTGTCTCAATTGTTGGAATAGCGCAGCGACTTCGGCATCACCTTGGCCAGAGTCTAGAAGCATAGGATATGATTAGCCATGTGGTCCCTGTGCTTTTGTGATCGTGGAAACTAACTGGATTCATCATGCATGAAGACCTCGGCCTCAAAGTATGGCCGGTCTCGCAAGACCTTCTTAATAGTAAACCTTTGCGAGCCTTGAACAAGCAAAAATGGTTCGGAGTAGGCCCGGCGCTGAACTCCGATGACTTTGCCAACGGTGCCGCATTGGAACAGGTCCTCCTTCCGTGCCTGACCGGCGTCAATCGAGTCGTATTCCTCCTTTCGCTCTGAGTCCGAGTCCTCGCCTTCGAGGAGCTTCTGTCCATCCTGGCTCAGGAACGGCGAGTTAAGTGGAACACAGCCGAAGGTGATGGTAGACGCATCTCGCTTCGAAGGTTTGTCCACAAGTGACGAAAGAAGATTAGCGAGATCGGGACGGTTGGAGACTGGAATACGGAGAGTTACGCCGGGTAGCAGAACCGAGCCCTTGGGCAGAGGTACGAGGGGAAGCTTGGTACTTCTACCGTTGGATCCCATCTTGTACGGGCCCTGGTGATGATGGAATGGGGTGGCAAAGATGAGGATGGGAGATCAAGTGTAAAATGCAGGGGGAATGGGGAATGGGGAATGTGGACAGGGGGAAAGGTAAATGGACTATAAGGAGAGGAGAGATGGAGGTTCCAGAATCACGTAGATGGGAAGTCCGGGGGAGATAAGTCGCATGTCTCCCAATCTCCACGTCCCGAAGCCGAGGTTGACGATCGACTGGGGAAAAATTAAAAGGATTGCTTTTTGATTGTAGTCTATATCTAATTTTATAGATCGACATGTATTGTATCAAAGTCTATTATTGACTTATTGTTATTTCCTAGATTATTGTATATATGTACTTAAAACGTTGTAATCCAGCTGGAATTACCTGATCTACAAGTGTCCCGTGATCGGAGGTCTCCAAATCCACTTTCGCCTCTTCGCGTGGTTTTCCTCGGCTGTTTGGTATCCTGCGGGCATAGCTCATACAACGTCGTACACATTTACTGTACTCGCATTTTACAAGCGTTATTATCCCGGATACGCTTTCTTTTCCCCTCAAAATGACTACCCGCACCTTCACTATCGGCACCCGCAAATCCAAACTGGCTCTGCTTCAGACAAACCTGGTCCTCGACGCATTGAAGAAGGAATTCCCGCAATATGAGTATAAGATCTTCTCCAAAGAGACAGCTGGTGACCTGAATACCACTATCGCACTCCGGGATTTCACCACCAAGAACCTATGGACGGAGGAATTGGAAGAATTGATGATCGACGGGCAGGTCGATGTTATCGTGCACTCGCTGAAAGGTTTGATAATGTCTCAATTTCAGCATAGCTGTTTCAACCCTAAGAAAAGTGCTGACGACGACTTCTTCGAAATATCAGATGTACCCACTACTCTCCCCGCTTCCTGCAAGCTAGGTCCGAGCATGCCCCGCGAGGATAGCAGGGATGTCCTTGTGGTGAAACAAGGTTTGCCTTATAAGAGTCTGTCCGAGATCCCCGCTGGGTCCGTAGTTGGAACCTCATCCATCCGCCGCACAGCACAATTAGCCCGGAAATACCCCCACCTTAAGGTCCAGGATGTCCGTGGCAATATCGGCACTCGCCTATCAAAGCTAGACGCTGAAGATAGCCCTTACGCCTGTATCATTCTAGCCGCTGCTGGTCTGCTGCGTCTTGATTTGGCGGATCGTATCACCCAATATTTGGACTCCAAGAATAGCGGCATGCTCTATGCTGTCGGACAGGGTGCCCTTGGTATCGAAATTCGCAAGGAAGACACTATTCTGCAGGATATGTTGGACAGGATTGGTCATCAGGATACCACATTTTCGGTCTTGGCTGAGCGCAGTCTTTTGCGGACTCTCGAGGGAGGCTGCAGTGCCCCGTTAGGGGTTGAAACCGAATGGGTCCAAAATGCGCAGGGTGCTAAGCAGTTGCGAATGCGGTCTGTTGTTGTCAGTGTCGATGGGAAGGAATGTGCTCAGGTAGAACTGGAAGCCGATGTCACCTCTGCTGAAAGTGCTGAGGCCTTCGGCATCACCGTAGCCAAGGCCCTGGTAGCTGATGGCGCTGGAGACATTCTCGAAGCTATCCAACGGAACAAGGCCGAGGAGAGCGTTTCTACTGCGGTCTGAATGCTAGACTTTTTACTCTAACTAGGGCGATATACCCTGTGAAAATAAGGAAGCGAACGAGTTTTCTCGTCTGGTATGCTCATACTCGCTCAAGATATCAAGAATATCCGCCAGGAAGTCTGGCTTTCTGGACTATAGTAAAGCAGCTCTATTCGTGTAGAGTATTTCAAATCATCCCCGATTCAGTGTGTTTCCAGCACCCTTCGGATTAGCTTCAGTATACTCGTCCCAATTTCGTGCCTTCATCGTCTCCTGGTCGGCAATGTTGTGATCGTCCTCGTCAACTAGCGGTTTGATGCCAGACTTTTCGCCTCCTCCTTCAATAACATTTCCTCGTCTGTGCTCTTCGTCGAGATATTCTTCAATTGTCATAGTAGGAAGGTTATGACCCGGACGGAAGACTCCTTGTTGCATTTCTGCGCGCCGACCCAACAATGTAAACGGCTGCATTGGCTTTCCTTTGCTGTTCAGGATAGGACCACCTCTGCCTCCCCCCAAAAGCTGTGACATGGAAGGATCCAACTTCTCCGAGTAATTTAAACCTCCAATATTGCTTCGCTGTCTGGGATCATCCGTCGGTGGGGGACGGGACGGCGCGTTGCGCATAGCTGAAAGTATCGACAATTCCTGAATCAGGAGATCTAAGGCCTGGAAGGTCTGGTGGGTGTAAAGCTGGATCTCTGCTAGATAGAGGGATCGGGTGTCATCATCGTCGCTTTGCAGTCGAGCTTCGTTACGTGCGAAGTACTTGAATAGGGTAAGCAAGAACCCCGAACGACATCTAGGAAGAAATTCAACATACCTCCAGTTTCTGCTTGAGCTCTTTTTCTTCCCGAAACCTTGTCACTTTAATTTCCCGTCTGGCAGCAGCGTCGTTGGCTGGCGCCAGGGTAAACGAGGTCGGATTGGCCATGTATTGCTCAAAGAGCTTCTTGTCTCCGCCAGAAAGTAGCAAGTACTCATCCAAGCGCATCAGGTATTTCTCATATTGTTCGAGCGTACGCTTGAGAGCCGCTTCACGGTCTGAGGTAGCAACTCGCTGCATAAGCTCGGCTAGATGGTATTCCAGTGTCATGTACCTGGACAACAAATCAGCCGAATGGGCAACGCAATGCTGGGAATCAAGGTAACCTACTGGATATCACTGGTTGAAATATCTTCCAACAGTTCATTGGAGCTGAACAGGGACAGCATGCTCACTTGACGCTGGCATTCTTGGAACTTGGCGATCGTCGCATTTACCTCGTCTCGGTAGCTCTCGGCGTTGGTATCACCCCGCGATCCCAGTGCACCCTTTTGCTCCTTTGCTGATGCAAATAGAGAGCGAAGACTCTGCGGTTCCTCCATTGGTTCTGATATTGATGTTGTGGACTTAAATTAGGTAGAAGATAAGGTACGAGAGGTGCTTGGAAATGGTTCGCGTGTCCCCCGCGATCTGGATCTGAGTTTTGGAAATACGATAAGGCGATAAGGCCAAGCTCTTATCAGATAAGCCTTTTGGCAAGGCGAGGGGCTCATACCTCGATCTTCCTCATCCTTTTGAACTTATTCCAAGGTTGGAATCAAAACTATTCCTATGTATGCTTAATTCAAAGAGTTCCTTTTCTTATAAATCATATGTTCTTTCTATGCCAAATATAGTGTGATTGGTCGTATTGATATGTGCTCATTTCACTCTTATTCTCCTCTATGGCTCTCCTTTGTTTTAGTCTTTCTGCAGATAAGTCGTTCTTTTAAGATAATTTCACAGATCTATTTTATAGTCTACTAATTTTACCTGTGCATAAATATCTTTGGTCCTAGTTTTACGTTGTCGTTGGAACAGACTGCTTGGGTGCATATATATATAGGTCCTGCAGATGTGTGATTCTTGGGATATTCAAAGTGCAAAGGACCTCACTATTTGGAATCATTGCAATATCAAAGAAAAGGCTAAGGCAAACTGTCTATGGATATTTGTTAAACAAATGGAACCCTTTTAGAATAGCCTTCCCAATACACCTACAAATACATTGCGATCTATCACTCTCACCTCACTTCTAAGAAATCCGTACCTAAGTAAGAAGGAGCAACCGTATAACTCGTTCACTTTTACCAAGTTAGATACTACTTCTTCTCTCGCCGGAGTTGACTTTCCCACTTCTGTAGCTTTATTATTATTATTATCTTCTTGTTCTTCTTCTTCTTCTTCTTCAACCCTTCTTCTTCAACATATCCTAGCACACGAGACTATCAACATGGAGCACGAAGACACCGCCTCAGACCTATCTGGTGATGAAGCTGTGCCCCCACGCTTGACGGAGTCGCACCGACACAGAGCTCAAAATGCTATGTTCACTGCACTGTAAGTTTCCAATGTATCTTAGCTTCAACGCTATTTATGCTGACAGCTTGGAAGCCTTGAAGAGCATGTTGTCAACGGACCGAGCAACGGCCCCAATGGGGCACATATCGAATTATCTGATGCGGAACTTTCAACCGCTCGTTTGCTCGCAAATACAGAGCCCGGGGGTGGGGTCCTGGACCCTCGCGAATACCAAATTGAGCTGTTTGAAAGAGCACGGGCTAGCAACACAATCGCGGTTCTCGACACAGGGTCTGGGAAGACTTTAGTGGCCGTGCTTTTGCTTAAGCATATTCTCCAAGTCGAACTCAACAAACGTGCAAATGGTAGAAAACCTCGCGTTGCGTTTTTTCTGGTGGACAGTGTAACCCTGGTTTTTCAACAGTCTGCGGTCTTGAGAAACAATCTCGATCAAAGAGTCGCTCACTTTTTCGGCAATCTAGGACCTGATCTTTGGGACCAGCAGACTTGGAACAATCACCTTGAAAAGTACATGGTGATTGTATGCACAGCAGAGATCCTGAACCAGTCTCTACTGAATGGCCATATTGGGATTGACCAGATCAATCTTCTGATTTTTGACGAAGCCCACCATGCCAAAAAGGAGCATCCGTATGCTCGGTATGGAGCCCATTGTTTGATTATATCATCACGGCAAAGCTAATATTCACCAGTATCATCCGAGACTCCTATCTGAAGGCGGATCCTGACAAGCGGCCAAGGATCTTCGGGATGACTGCTTCCCCGGTTGATGCCAAGTGTGACATAGCGGAAGCAGCAATGTGAGCGCCTCAAAATAAACAATAGTGAAAGCTTCTGCTTACTGTATATAGGCAACTTGAGACTCTTTTAAATAGTCGCATCGCAACAACATCGGATCTTGCCCTTCTGCGAAACTTCGTGAACAAGCCAATAGAGGAGGAATGGGTCTACGACAAGCTTCCTCCGCCGTTTGAGACCAATTTGCATGGTACTTTGAAAACCAAATATGGGAATATGCCAATCCTTGAAGGGGCATTTCGATTTGCATCTGTTGCAAGCTCAGAATTAGGGGCTTGGTGCGCAGACCAGGTATGGGCTCTGGCCCTGGCGGACGAAGTGTTGCCCAAGCTGGAGGGCAGTATCGGCAAGGGGACCGATTCTGATCCCCAGGATTCTGAAAAGGCCTCAGAGGAGACCAAGCGGATTCAAGAAGCCAATCAGCTGGTCAAAGTGTACACTGCAAACCAGACATTCACGCCGAGTGATCTCAGCTCCAAAGTCGAGCTTTTGATGAGAAAGCTGCAAGAACAGTTTGCGAAGTCGCCAGATACCAAATGCATTGTGTTCACACAAAGGCGCAATACAGCGAAAGTACTGTTACAGCTGTGCGAAAAGCTGCAATTTCCAAACCTCCGTCCTGAGGCCTTGGTCGGTGTCCGCAAAGGGGATGCCCTAGGAATGAATTCCACATTTCGTCGGCAGTTTCTTGTCTTGGTCAAGTTCCGAAAAAGTGAAGTCAACTGCTTGGTGAGCTTTTACACAAACCAAAAGGCTGCTTGTAGAGAAAATCTAATCATTCTCAGTTTGCAACGTCGGTCGCAGAGGAAGGCCTTGATATCCCAGACTGTAACCTGGTGGTTAGGTATGGCCTCTAGCATTTTGACCCTTGCTATTGCTTTTCCTGACAGATAAAGATTCGATCTGTATGACACGGTTATTCAATACGTCCAAAGCCGAGGCCGTGCCAGACGCGCCGACTCAGTGGTCAGGTTTCCTTCACCTTTCATGAGATGCAATTGATTTACTCACTATTTTGCAGTATGCAACCATGGTTGAAAGTGGTAATCGCAACCACAGCATGAGACTACAGGAGGTCCGAAGAGCAGAGGTAAGGGTCCTTCCAAGGTGATATAGCACTAGACTAATTGACCCATGAACAGCACCTCATGAAGAATTTCTGCAACCTGCTGCCGGAGGATCGAAAATTGTACGGAGACGACCACGATATGGGTGTACTTATTCACGAGGAAGATCGGAAGAGAACATACACTATCACGAGCACAGGTGCCATGTTGACCTATCGCCATGCGATTGGTGTCCTGGCGCGGTTTGCCAGCTCATTGGTAAGAGCCAATTTGCTTCTACTGACTTGCACCATCAAAGCTAACGGGGGACAAAATCTCAGCAATACGAAAATGACATCTCGGCCTCGGTCACATACATTGTCATGTCAGAAAACGAATCATTCAGCTGTGAAATAATTATGCCGGAGAAGTCGCCTGTGCGAAGAGTGCTTGGATGCTCCGAATCAAAGAAATCACTCGCTAAGCAGTCCGCTGCTTTCGATGCATGTTTGCTGCTTCGCAAAAGGAATCTGTTGGATGAGCACTTCAACTCTGTCTACCACAAGCGCCTGCCAGCGATGCGCAATGCTAAATTGGCCATTACTTCAAAAAAGACCAATCAGTACAAAATGCGTACCAAGCCCTCAATCTGGGCTAAGCAGCAGGGAACTATTCCAACACGTCTCTACGCGATAGTTATTCGTCTCATTCCATCAGTGCCTCTGGCTCGAACTCATGGAAGTATTGTCTTGCTGATACGTGAGCGAATCACAGCAATACCCACTTTTCCTGTCTTCTTGGATGATGATATCGAGACTACAGTCCAGTCT